GGGGGTGGAAATCCGCCGGTAGTTTTGGAAAGTCCTTCATCGTCGCCGAGGATATTCAGCCGGGGCTGTGGGGGGCCTGTGGGCGCCCGGGGCGGGGGGCGCGGGGCCGCCCCCCTGAGCCCCGCTCCCCGTTTGCAGCTGATCACGGAGCAAGCCGATATCCCGCTGTCGCGGGGCGCCGAGATGAAGGGCAAGTGCGGCACCAACGAGTCGGAGCTGGAGATCTCCTGGCTGGAGCAAGCGTACACCCTCAAACTCTTCTTCCTGAAGGTACGGGGCTCTCCCCGCGCCCGGGAGCTGCGGGGCGCACGGCGGTGTTGCCGGGGTCTGACCGGCCCTGTCTCGGCAGGAGGGGCACAACACGTCCCGGGGGCAGGAGGCTTTCTGGAGGCTCAGCCGGGTCCAGTTCACCTACGACACCGCCGAGCGCACCTACTTCAAGGACGCCGTCAGCCGTAAGCGCCCCGGGGGGACGGGGTTCAAAGCAGATCCCTGGCGTCTGGCGAGCGCGGAGCCGGGGCGGGGGGGGGGGGCCGACGACGCGGACACCCCGCGGGCTGCTCGCCTAAATGCAGTTTAACGGGGGAAAAAAGATACCTCAAACCCGCCCGACAAAGCCGGGACCGGGTGCCGGTTTTAAACCGCGTCTTAGTTTTTGTTCCCCCTCCTTTCTGTTCTTGTTTCTTGGTTTTAATCACCGCGGTTGCCGTGGGAGGGAGAGCCCTACCTCTGCCCGTTTGCTGCGCGGTCCCGGGCCCTCCCGGCGGGACCCAGGGGCTCGAGGGGGTGGGCAGCGGGGCAGGGGTCCGCCTGGTCGGGAAAATTTGCCTCCTTTCCTGCGGGAGATGTTTTTTAAGGTTGATTACCTCCTTGGTTCTGATGATGGTTGAAGAGGTGGGAAAGCCGTGGTTTCCCAAGATAACAATGAGATCGACATCAATATCCATGCCCCTACACGCCTCCACACCCAACAGCCTCTCCTCTTTTTTGACTGGGTTTCCTTTCTTTTGGCTTTCATTTCGTTGTTAGTCCATTTCTGCTGAGAAATTAGTTGTCTTGTATCGAAAACAGATATACTGTCATTTGCAAGTTGCCGTTCTTCAAGATTTTCCTAACTCCAGCGAATGGTGTGTTAAAAGTTTGTGGCGTAAGACACACTGGACACGGAGCTGTTTTTCCCACTGGTGTTTCAACTGCTTGTGTCCCCAAAACACGGTGGTGGTCGTGCCTCATCACCCTCTGCAAATGCGAAACACTGATCGCCTTTCTGTGCTGCTGGAGGGGAACAAAGGGCTGCAGAAGAGCAGGAGGTGGAAGGCTTCCCTCATTCCACCTTGCTGAGCTGCATTCAGCCTTCATTTATAAAACAAGCTTGATGTGATGGGAAAATATTTTCTCATAATCTATACTTGGGTGAAATGGTCATGTTGTATTTTCAGGAAAGGTGTTATGGCCTGTTTTGCTTTGTAGTGAGGTCCCCAAATGGCATTGCTCCTTCCCACCTGAATTCAGAGCCCAAGTGCAGCCGCAGGAATTGCCATTCCCCAAACGTAGGGAGTATGAGCACAATCCGAGGCTGAAATCTGCATATACATCAATAGAAACCATTCCTCCAACTTTATGGACTTCAAGTCCTATGACACGAGCATCGCTGGCAGCAGCAAAGCCAGCTCTCCCCTTTGCACCGGCAGGACCGCACGCTGCAGCCATCCGTTCCTGCTTGTGGGCAGGCAACCCCAGTGCGGGAGTTGCCCTGGCTATGTGGTGGTGTCATGCCAAAAGCATGGTCCCACCCCAGGAGAAAATGCTGCTGTAAGAGCAGTGGAGCGTGTGGCCGCCGCATTGCACACTGCCTGCATGCCCTTGTGTTCAATTCATTAGCTTTGTTAATAAAGTCACATCGGTCCCCCAGAGACAGGACCTGACCTCTGCTGTTTCTGCCCCTTGGCCAGCCGGGAAGCACACGGCCAACTCACACCATCTCTCTGCCCTGGTCACCCCAGCTGGGAAGTCCTACGAGTGCCAGGCGCAGCAGACCATCTCCCTCATCTCCAGTGACCACCAGAAGTCTGTGCAGCTCTTGCTGTCGGAAGTACGTGTCCAGCCCTTCGACATCACCGCGGATTTTGTCTTCAGTGAAGGTAAGATGCAGGGTGAAGGCACGTCCTGCATCCGCAAGATGCTGCTGCTGCTGTGGCCTTTGGGGATGTCGCAATGCGCTGAAGGAATTTGGGTCCCACCTTTATCAGAGCACCTTCCCCTCCCTCCAGCAGGTGGTCAGTGCTCCCTGCAGTCCCTCCAACCCATTCCCTGCCGCCATGGTCCCCCAGAAGCCTTTACAAATTCAGCCCAGCCGCTATTTGGTCAGAACATGGGCTGTTGTTGCATGTACACTGGCTTCTGTAAGGACTTACCTAGCTAGGTTGCCAGCAAGCCCTGGAGCTGCCTGGTCCCTGGGGAGCCCTGCAAGGGTTGGGTGTCTCCTCTGCAGCACGGAAGGTGCTTCGGTAGAGCTCCAGGGGCTTTTTAGGGCCACTGCACCCTGAGGGAAGCTTGGGGCTGTAGTGGCAGGAAATACTTGCGATGCGCGTTGCTGGCTTCAGTTTGATTAATGCTCATTGCAAGGATGAAGGAAGCGTAACAGGGACTTCAGTGAGGCACCTCATGCGCCAAACACAGGGGATGCTGTTCCTCTTCTTAGGTTTCTTTAACGTTAATTGTGGATAAAAGAAAACGTGAGTTAACGTGCTGTTTGTATCAAAGGGTTGTACTGAAGTCAGCAGCAGTACTGCCATGGGGCAGAATTCCTGCAGATTTTTCCTGCCTTTATCTTGAGGAACCTGTGGTGCTCCTCCTTCCTGACATCCTCCTGCCTTTTCCATCAGGTTGAATGAGGGAGTGTAAACATGCTCACCTGAATTAGGACTTCGAGACTAGTCCCCTTTTTATAGTGCCATCTTAGCAAATTAGTTAACTCCATTATTGTAAAAAGATGCAAATAAAATTTGTAATAGCCAAATCTTTTAATAACGAGCTAGAAAATGGTGGTGTTATTTTCAAGCTTAGCATTAAAAATTTGGAGCTTTATTATTTTGCGTGTGGGAAATATTTTAGAACACAATAAAAAACCAGCACTGACTACAGAACCGAGCACTTACGCTCATGACTCACATTCCTCTAACTGATGTAGTAAATACATGCTATTATGTACGCTGGCTCTGGCAGAGCTCTGTGTGGCTGAATTACTCATGGCAAGGCCAGTGTAGTACAGAGTAGGTTTTATCTGTGGGCACAAATAAATCTTTTTTTTTTTTTTTTCCTATCGAAGTAGTACCGCATTTTGCATAGGTTACAGTGAGAAAAAAGTAGAATTTAATAGTCTCCTATTATTTTTTGTTGGCACGTCTTCATCCTCTCCTCCCTTCTTGGAGCCAGGCTTCCTGCACTCAGGGTTTGGCTGGGCAGACCTTGGAGGCTGAGAAAAGCATATTTAAAATATGCAAGTCTGGACTCAGTTTTAGCTGCTGTGTCTCTGTGATACCAAACCTGTCAAGTCCAAGAGCTCGCGTTTAAAAGAACCAGACTTGGGGTTCGTTGCCAAAGGCAACTACCTGCCTTTTTCATGATATGCTCTTTCATATCAGGCAGTTTTGGTTTGGTTTGGTTTTTTTTTCCTTTGTTGTTGTAGTTTTGTTGGTTTTTTTTTCTCCAGGACACAAAGAGGCCCTGGTTGGTTTAGCAATCTTTAAACATGTGTGGGGAATTCCTCCTCCTGAGGAAAGCACGGTTTCTCTTTGCCAGGCTTTCTGGTTTTTTTTTGTTGCTCTCATTATTTAGTGACACTTCTTTTTGTTGAATTCCACTGGAAGTTAAATAGCAAAGAGCACCTGGAGAGGATGGTCAGAAATGCCCAAGAGGTCATTAATCAATGAAGCTTCGCGCGGGGCTCTGCCACTTCTCCCAGTGGCACGTCCCCACTAGCCCTGCGGACCAGCGTGTCCTCAGCACATGCATGGCAAAACATGATTCTTTGTGGGGTCTGATAATCACTGCCAATCTTAAATTACAGTAATTAGCCTTCTCCTTTTTGGTTCATTAATTTCCCATTAGGTAAAATTCCTATTAATTATGAACAAGCTACAGAACATTTTAAAATATTTTAGAATAGAGAAAGAGACCTGCTAGAGCAGAAGAATTGCAGAGATGCAGGAGTGTCAACACACTTTTACCACAAAGAAATGGGGGGAAAGGTTTTGTCATTAGTCCTGACACTGTCCTGTCTGGGATAGATTAAAAAGCTTGTAGTCTGTGATTGGATTGCTCTTATTTTTTTTGAATGCTTAAACTCATGTGCTAGAATATTTTTTTTTCTTTTTAAGACCCTGCTTCCAACCCTTACAAAAAATATAAAAATACACATAAATATATATATTTACTTTTTTTCAGTACAGAAGCAGAACATTTTTTTTCATTCAGAGCTGGGGAAATTTTTTTTTTTAATAGGGAAAATGTGCATACATTTTTCAGCTTAAAAGATCAGTAAAAGGGAGAGCTGGATCAAGATCATGCAAGGAGAACATTTAAATTGATGAAAGAACCCCACAGAAATTGTCACCTCTTTTGATTTTCATCAAAATAACGCAAAATACTAATACAAAAGGATACAAAGGCTGAGAATTAGGGACCAGGATTGTGGGAGGTCTCATCTCCCTCTGAGCCACCCCAAACGAGGGCCATATTTTCTCAAGGGACTTGGGCACCTAGTAGCTCCTCTTTGCAAGGTATGCAGCCACCTTTAAAAAAATCACTCAGTCTTTTTTTTTATTATTTTTTTCCTTTTTATTAAGCTAATCACTTAACAAACACCCATCTCAAAATCTCAAAAATTCATCCTGTCATGCCAGACACAACTGGGCTGTTTTTTCATCCTTTCGAACAGCCCCTGCACCGGTCGTCCGGCTTGTGGTCGTGACTGCGGGAAACTGGTGATTTTGTTGCCGTGCTGCTATTTGTTCTGCAGAAGGATGCTGAAACAAGAAAATGGGCCTGTTGGGTGGTTTCATAGCCTAGTACTGAAATTGGACGAGCACTCACCATAGAAACCGTGGCGGTACGTGAGCCTGGGTGCTGTGTGGCGTTGGAGGAAGCACAGCACAAAAGAACAACGGGGGATGTACCTAAATGCCTCCTTTGTATCCGCCTGCAGTCTTTGTTCGACGGGGCAGGGACCCTGGGCTGGGGGGTGGCACCTCTCTGGCAAAGGGGTGACCCTGCTGGGTTCGGGATGCAGCAAAACTCCCAGCATCACCTGAAAATTTGCCAGGGACCTTTTTGCTTTCCTGGAGTGAGGGTAAAACCTAGCGATTTAGGAAATGCTGAGATCCCTGTGACCTGAAGCAAAATACTCAGGAAAATTTGATAGAAAGGGCTGTTTTCCTGCGGAAGGCATTGATTTAAAATACATAGCAGTTCCCAATGTGATGGCATTTCATTTGTCGTGCATCAACCAGCCCACCTGCCTGCGCTGTGCTTGATGGGGTTGAGTGTCTGAATTTGTGGCTGCCGTGGACTTTATGCAAACCCTTCTGCCCTCCCACTCCCCCTTTGCATTTTCCTTTGTTGATAGACCAGGGATGATACCTGTTACCTACCTCCCTGTGGTGTTGTGGACCTCAGTGCCTGTGCAATGCTTTGAACTCTTGGGGCGAAAAATGCTTATAAATGTTAAAGTATATTGTTATAAATGTGAAAATATTTTTATTTGTGTAAAATGATGTGTTTTAACATTATATTAATGTCAAAATACAAAATTCATTCTCCTAGCAGTCAGCACCTGGAGAGCCTTGGTTCTGCTGCAAATGTGCTTGTGCTTACCACTTGCCTGTGCCTCCGTGCTGGGTCCCCCACAGCCCTATTCCCATTCCCTCTATGCTCTCTGAAGAGCCCAGACTTTTGCAGTCTGCTCCAAAAGGAGAAAATGGATCTGTCTGATGAGGAGAAGGTGTTGGTAAGGCGGGGGGTGGCTGCTCTGCAAGGCTGCTGAGGCAGAGTGCTTTCTGCCCATGGAGGTGCAGCAGTGTTTGTGGGTGTGCTGCTGGAGACTGCGAGCTTTGCTTTGCCTTTTTTTTTTTTTTCTTTTTTTTTCCTGTTGGCTTTTTTTCTTTTAATCCTCTTTAAAAAGTGTCAGGATAAAGAACTATCTTCCTTGGCTGCTTGCAAGATTTGACACCTTCTTGAGTTGTGACTCAGACACTCAAATACAGCTGTGGCTTTCTGTGGACACCAGAGCTTTGGCCAGGTCCTCTGGCCCATTTTGTGCTCTGCAGCTGGTTTGCTTTGGCAAAAGCTGGGAATATTGCAAGCAGGTGCTTTAGAGTTGGGTTAGTCCTCTGCATCGTGGCACTAGTGCTTTTAGCTTTGCCTTCTTCACTGGCTGCAGACCTCCACGTTCACCCCGTTCTCCTGCAAACTCAGCATCGTTCTTGTTTAAGGAAAGGCACACGGGCAAACCTGCTATGTTTGAGCACAGGTGAATGTCCTCAGTTGGGTTTACGGCAGGCTTGTTTCATTTTTCTGTAGGGTTTAAGCTAAACCACTTTCAAAGCAAAAATTAGTGCCTGCCGGAGGAGATTGCAGCAGCTGGACTGAAACACCGCTAATTGGCACATCAGCACACCCCGGCCCATCGGGCTGTCTGCAGGCGCATGGCAAGTGCACAGGGGCTCCTCTAGCATGGATCCTTCCCATCGGAGGGGTGCTGCTTTGTCCTGACACGTGGGCAGCGGGGTCGGAGCACCGTGCATGCCTTTTCCCGCAATCAGGTCTGGGATGCCAACCTGCCGCTGTGTCTCTGCCTTGGCACCGCGGGTCTGGTCAGGCCTTAGCATCCTAAACTGGGAAGGCTTTCATAAAGCTCTAGAAACCCGATTTTGGGAGCTAATAATAATCAGGGGTTTTTTGCCCTTTCTCCTGAATACAAACAAACAAAACCCCTGCATTGCAGCAAGTGCTGAGTCGCCTGTAACAGTCCTGGTGATTAATCACTCCTCTGGTGAAACAGTGAGCAACTGGAACCGAAAAGGACATTTTTTTTGTTAGACTACATTTCACTTTTGCTTTTTTGTTTCACTTCATTTTCAGCTCAAAATGTTTCCTGATGGCATTGCTACGAGCCAAGTGCTGGGAGGAGGGCTCTGCTCCGGGAGGTGACAGAGCTCTGGAGGTGCTGGCACCGCTGGAGATAACGTCCCTGCTGACACCTCATGCCTGGGCCTGGGGGGTCTCTGGGTTTTTCCTGCTCTTTGCCACATGCCGTTAGATTTGCAGAGCGTTTGCTGTTTGTGGTTCGTCGCAGATCTCTCTGTCTTGCAATCAGCTGCCTGGGGAACCCATCTGGACAGTCTTTAGCGATGGGAGGAATTAGTGATGCCCTTTGTATCTGCTCATCTAACATGCAGCCTTTTTTCACCTGCTTTTTTCTTTTAAGTAATTGCTGTCTTCATTGTTTTCAGCACAATTCTAGTGCTGTGAAGATGACCCAGGGGCCAGAGCACTTTCCCTCCTTTCCCTTGTAGCCATTTTTTTTTTTTTTTTTTCCCAGAGTGGGCATTTTTTTTCTTTTTGGTCTGGCAGACCCAACTCGGCAACATCGGCTTGCCTGTCCGTCAGCACGAATAAGCAGCAGTCCCATGGGGAAAAAAGTAAATCGTGATCCTGTCATTCAGGCCTGCAGTAGACTCTGGAAGTGTAAGGGAGGTGAACCGGGATTACCAGCATAATGTATTTCCCAACCTTGGTGGCTTTTGCAAGCTAAATGGAAAAGTGTTTTCCCATTGTAGCTATGGTTATTTTCTAGTCGTTTATTACACTATGATGGGGACTCGTAGGTCGGAGAGAAAAACACTGGGGAGGGCCGCGTTGCTTCTGCTCATCCTCATCCTTTGCCATATTTGACAAAAAACGTGGCGTTCTGGGATGCTCTTTGGCCACAAACACACATGTGCTCTGCCAGTGCTGGTAAACTCCCCATGGGGAGCTCACAGAGACGGGGGAGAGATGCTGTTAGATCTCTGCCAGCTTGCAGATAGAGGGGAAGAATCTTTTTAACGATGAGCAGGGTACGTCTGATGCAGAATTAAAGACTTATTGATGTTGAGGTCTCATGATGCAATATTTATAGACTCTATAACTAAATAAACAAAGCAGATCTTCAGCCGTGGTCAGGAAACTTGTACTTATCCTGTCGCATTCCCAACAAAGCCATGGCTGTACATGGCAGAGAGGCATGAAGAGGAACTTAGGGGCACGAAAGCGTTTTTTCCCACTGCGTCGGCTGGTTTGACAGATGTTACCTCTCCCTCCAAATCCTGTGTTGTGACTGTGATTTCCCTTTCCTCCAAAGCAATTGATTTTCTCCCCAGGACTCCGACGACGGCTGCTGTCTCTCCTTGCTGCTGCGGCTGTTTTTGCTGCGCAGGGACCCCTGGTGCGGAGCTGTGACTCTGGGTTGCTACTGCAGCAGGAGTTGAGATTTGCAATGTCTCATTTATTTCTCTCTTTCTCTTTTCTTTTCTTTCTTTCCCTGCAGAACACAAGTGCCCAGTGGACCAGAGGGAGCAGTTAGAAGAAACCCTGCCTCTGATTTTGGGCCTGATACTGGGGTTGGTTATCGTGATAACCCTCTGCGTTTACCATATCCACCACAAGCTGACAGCTAACCAAGTGCAAATTCCTCGGGACAGATCTCAGTACAAACACATGGGATAGGGGACAGGATGGAGCAGCCCATATATTTATCAGGTAGAAAAAGCAAAAGCACTTTTTTCTAAGGTGAGGAAAGGTTATGGGGGGGCGAGAGACGGTATTCACAACACCTAGTCGTGGGTGTTTCATGGAGACGCACAAGTTAAGATTAGGCTTTAATCTAGTCAGTGCAGAGACATAGCTGTCTCTGTAAGAAGACTCAGAGCATCTGATTTTAGGAGTCTGTCTGTGGCAGTAGGTGGTATGAATACCTTCTTAAGCAGCTGGGCTGATGATCTGGAAATAGAAATGCTTTGCATGTCAAACTTCAACCCTGGGGCAAAATTAGCTTTTTTTTTTTTTTTTTTTTCCTTTTTTTCCCTCTCAAGAGACTCTTCCCTCCCCAATGCATTGCTCTTGGCAGCGTTCAGCCCTCTCTGTTTATGTCTGTACAGGGAGCAGGGCTAGGGGACAGAGCCATTGCACGGACTTTGTTAAGGTCCTCTAATGAAGGGATTCAAACCACATTCCTGAAGTTTGCACTTAAGTCAAGGAAAGCATGAAGGCAATACAAGTGTGTTTTGAGGGGGGAAAAAACCTAAACCAAACCAAAACAAAAAAAGGCCAGAACCTCAAGCTGGTATAAACTGGAATAACTCCAGTGCAGCAGATTGCAGCCAGCTGAGGAGCTGACCCCACACTTGAGACTGAGTGAAGAAAGTTTGTTTTTGCTTCTTGACCCACATCTGAACTAAACTTAAAAAAAATAATTAAAAAAAGAGTATTGATACACAAATTACAAAGTGCCATGCTACTGCAAGTCAACTGAGAAATGCTTCTGGCTGGACATCCTGCACGTATTGTGATTGTCGTTGAGATGTTACATTGCTACCTGTAACCAATATTTTCACAATGAAACAAAAAAAAAAAAAAAGAAAACAGAAATGTTAAAGTTACTATGCAGATTATTCAGGTATAATCTAATGTAACGGAAAACAATATAAGGGAACCCTTGAAATCTATCCTTAAATGTAGACAATTTTTAAAATTAATTAAAACATGTACATATATAATACTTGATTTGCCTTCTTATTTTGAAATGATGTAATGCTTTTTACTAACTCCGTGATACCTAATGGAATTGGTGCAAAAATACATCGTCTGAATGGATGTTAAATGTAGGATTTATTCTAGCGGTATTTTTGGTACAGATGGTTTGGTGAAGACATGGTGGTAGCTCAGTATTCTGTGATTTGTTGGTTATTTCTAATATTCTAATCTCTCAGCTGTTTCTTTCTTATGTGTTTTGTGGGCAGTGGTGTGTTTCACTCTGGTCCTGTCGAGTTCCCACTGAAACGTTTGGCTTCCCTTGGCTCTGGTGTTACTGCAGCAAGAGTTAGTCCAGACCTTGTGTTAGTTTAGGCTATGGAAAATAACCTTCTTGGTTCTGAACTGATTTGATCTAAATAGGGGCTCATACAGACTGTTCCCTTTCAGCTTAAAACAGGATAATAAGCAAAGAAAAATAGTAATTTCAATGTGGAGAAATGTGAGGGGAGAAACTTAACTGCTTTTTAATGCTGCAGCCTCCTCCAAAATTTAGTTGGTTTTGGGTTTTTTTTTTTATGAAGGTGGACGCAGCAAGAGCCTTTCTTTAGTCCTGTCTTATTCCTGGTCTCATTTCTATGTTACGTTCAGCTTTTTGTTTTCTTGTTTGGATGTAAGAAGCAGAATTACGGTGCTAATGAAGCTTGTGGCTTTGCCCTTTTCTTTTAAAGCTCTGGTGAAAGTGTTCTGGGCGGGCTTTGGGTTGACCAAGTGCCACTGTCTACAATGAGCTGATTATTATAAAAAAAAGAAAAAAAAAAAAAGAAAAGGTTCTTTTAGAGGCAGCCAGAAAAAGCCATAGGTAGCAGGAGAGTAAATAAGAGGATTAAAAGTTCTTCCTTAATAGAGAGGGGCCATAGTTATCAGCTTTGTCCTGCCTCCCTCTTGTCTGCCCTCCAGCCAGACAGGCTCTCCTAGCCAGCTCCCATCAGCCTGGAACATCTGCTCCTGTATTTGACATCCCAAAAAATCAAAGTAAAATAAAAAAGGAAGCAAACGGCTGAACTGCAGATTGCAAAGGAGCCTCTCCATTGTACTTAGTCTTCTGAACAGCACGTTTTGGCAAGGCGGCTGCAGGAATGAGCCATTGGGATAGCACGGTTGTGTGGGTGAGCAGCGGTGGGGCAGGACATGGAGGCAGGATGGGGATGGAAATTGCATCAAACTGGAGACATCCCAGTCAGTAGAGGCCAGTCCTCACCTGGCTGGTTTTCTCCCGGTGAGCTGCAAGTCTTTGGTGTCAATAGGAGCAATTTCTGCTGGTTCAGTTGAGTATAATGAGAGAGATAAAAGACTTGGGACGTTGTCTGTGAAAAATGGGGGAAGAGAAGGACTTTGAGGCTGGAAACAAGGGGAAGGATCCTGTTTTTCCCCTGTGCCATCTGTTTCTCCAGGAGAGCCCATTAGGGCTTTTTTTTCTCCCTCTTTTCACATTCATCTGCACCTGTCCCTCTCCCTCCCCCCCCCTTCTTTTTCCTTGCAAAACTTGAGTTAGTTGTGTGTCAGTTTGGATATCAAAACTTTAAATGGGGGACATAAAAGAGAGCTACTTCCCTTCCACTTGCCTTTAGGAGAAGCTTTACAGAGATAAGGAAGTGCACATCACAGCACTTTTTATAAGTTGTTTTTATTTCCGATCCACCCCACGTTTTTAACCCAAAGAAGGGATGATTGTACTGGGCTTGCATTTCTCAGCTACTTTCCATGACCCCTGGGTGGATCCAGCCTTGCACCGTGGCCATTGCATCGCCAGTGGCAGAAGCAGAGTAGATGCAAAGTATTCCAAAATACACAACCAAGCAAAGTCTTCATGCTCCTTTCCTCTTGGCCTCCTGCATTTACCTCGTGTGATGGCTCCTCACACAAGCCATCAGTGGCAATCCCATCTGCACTATAGTTTCTTATATTCCGCAGAAATTGTACTTATTTTGCAGAGTTGGTTTGGAGGCAGGAAGGGCATTGTCAATAGCTGGCAAGGGGTTGACAGATACTTCTCAAAACTGGAGCAGGAGGTGGGAAACCCACTGCTTGGCACCCCTGCAGCATTTGACGGGCTATGTTTAACCTTTATCCTCCCTTGCAAGCTACAATTCAGGGTTTATATGGAGCTGTTTGAAGGCAACAAAACCTGGGGCTTGGCTTAGCTGCCATAGCGTCGCTCTTAGGAGAGGCAGTGGCTGGTGGATGGAGCTGCTGGCTGAACATATCTCCAGGCTGGTTTTTGGAGCAGCTGGAGTTTGTTGTGCCTTGTTCAAGTAAAGCTGCTGGTGGGTTTTAGCCTCTTGTAGGTCATGTTGTTGGTTCCCCATTTGCAGAAAGTGAGCAAGACCCACCTGGTGTAACAGGGAGATGCTCTCAAACGTCTACATTGATTTGAGATGGAAAAATTCTAATTTATGGTTTACTTTGCAAACTAATTTTGATTCAACCTGCAGTGACCCTGTAAGGGTAGTCATAGCAGAGCCGCCCAAGGAAAACATTTGTCTTCACCGCTTATAGGAAACTGTCCTTGACTGATCCCACTGCTTGAGCATTGGCCAATGCTCTGAGGTGGTGGCATCGGCCATCGGAGGAGAGGACAACCCCCCAAAAGCTGATGCTGCTCCTTTGACCCTATGCCCACATGCCCTAAGAACTTTTGCTGCTTTTCATGATAGAGGTTTCCTTTAGGTAGCACTCAGCATCACCTTCAGGCTCGAAGTGTCTGTAAGCTATCAGGAAGAGGGTTGTATGAATATAATAATTAATTTCTTGGTTTTCTGAATTAAGATAGAAAATAATTTCTTGGACTGAAATGCTTTTCCTCTCTTTTTTTTGGGAAGAAAGGAAATAGAAACAATAATTTCAGCTCAACGACAGTTTGCATTGTGCCCCAAACTGATGTATCTTCTTTAAAGAAAGAGTTAAGATGTTGAAAGAAAACCCTTTGAATCTTTCAATTCTTTCCATCCTTTTGCTAACAATTACTTACTGAATTGACTCTGAATTTTCCATCAATTTAAGCTTTCCAAGCCTATTTTTGAAAAATTATTTCTGAGAGAGGTTAAAAAAGTCGTCCAACTTCCCTCCTGCCCATCAAACTACAGCGAAGTCTTGAGGATGGCAGCACTTTTATTGTGATTTCATTTTATGGTTAGCTTTCATTCACTGATGGCTTATTATGAGCTAGCTGCAAACTTGAACACTTTGCTTTATAGATGTTTATGAACACACTAGTAGAAGGTGGGTAAATATAAGAAACTTATCACCTTACTGAGCTCTATAAGGACCTGTAATAATTAAGCACTTATTAAAGCAGCTGGTAATGACTTACAAAGTACTTATGATTAGAACTTTAATTATAAATTATTGATGTTTTGCCAAGGAGGGGAGTTACATAGCCAGTAAATGCCCTGGCCTCTGCTACTAAATATGACGAGTATTTGTGAATACTTGTAGAACTGGTGACCTCAGAAAAAGCCGTCGTTCCTTAGTGAATGGCAGGAATAAATGCACTGGAGTAACTGGCCGTATGTGGAGCTCAGCCTCAGCCGGTGCAGCAGATGGAGACATCTTCTGGGTGAATGGATGCTCCCAGCATCTGGTATCCAAAAAACTAAAACTAAAGAGTATATTTTTTTGCTGAGATGCCCAACAAGGGCAAGACTGCACAGCCTACAAGGCAATAGTGATGGAGGAAACAGCTTCTGCAGCACGGAGACCACAGGGACCAGGATAAGGGCTCGGGAGCCATCGAGTTGCAGGAGATGAGACCTGGGAAGATCCTACAGAGGTTACCCAAGGAACAAATGTGCAGAGCAGGCAGGGAACACGGCTCAGTCAACTGTGTAGCCCAAGGTAACAGGCCATGGTTATTCCCTGCTTTTTTGCCTGGCTCTGAGTTTATATGAAGTGCTGTGGGTGAAACAGCTAAAAAG